AACCACTAGATTCTGTGTACTATGCGAGATCTGAGCGCTTCCGTTCTCCCTAGCATTTGCACTCTAAGTTCCCATACTGACCGACCTAGCCAATGCACCATTTTCCATATACATATGCATTAGATTCCTTTCGAACCTTATTAGCTCACTAGATTTATATATTTCCCACCTTCTGATCGAGTGAGACCGCTAGATTCCCTCTACATTTTGAGAAATGAGCGTTTCCGTTCTCCTTGGCCCTAGTTGCACTATAAGTGCGAAATGCCGGCCAGACTGGCGGATGCACAATTTTTTCTACACATGTGCGTTAGTTACCTTTCAAACCCTTACGTTCACTAGATGAATATATTTCCTACTTTCTATTTGAGTGAGACCACTTGATTCCGTGTACTATGCGAGATCTGAGCGCTTCTGTTCTCCCTGGCATTTGCATTTTAAGTTCCGATACTGACCGACCTGGCCAATGCACCATTTTCTCTAGACATTTGCATTGCATACATTTCAAACCTTTTTAGCTGATTAGATTTATATAGTTCCCACCTTCTGATCGAGTGAGAATGTTAGATTCCCTCTACTTTTTGAGAAATGAGCGTTTCCGTTCTCCCTGGCCCCACCTGCATTATGAGTGCGAAATGCCGGCCAGACTGGCCGATGCACCAGTTTCTCTACACATGTGCGTTAGTTACCTTTCAAACCCTTACGTTCACTAGATGAATTTATTTCTTACCTTTGTTTTGAGTGAGACTACTAGATTCCATGTACTATGCGAGATCTGAGCGCTTTCGTTCTCCCTGGCATTTGCACTCTAAGTTCCCATACTGACCGACCTGGCCAATGCACCATTTTCCATATACATATGCATTAGGTTCCTTTCGAACCTTATTAGCTCACTAGATTTATATATTTCCCACCTTTTGATCAAGTGAGACCGCTAGATTCCCTTTACTTTTTGAGAAATTAGCGTTTCCGTTCTCCTTGGCCCTACTTGCACTATAAGTGCGAAATGCCGGCGAGACTGGCCGATCCACCATTTTCTCTACACATGTGCGTTAGTTACCTTTCAAACCCTTACGTTCACTAGATGAGTTTATTCCCTACCTTCTATTTGAGTGAGACCACTAGATTCCGTGTACTATGCGAAATCTGAGCGCTTCCGTTCTCCCTAGCATTTGCACTCTAAGTTCCCATACTGACCGACCTGGCCAATGCACCATTTTCCATATACATATGCATTAGATTCCTTTCAAACATTATTAGCTCACCAGAATTATATATTTCCCACCTTCTGATCGAGTGAGACCGCTAGATTCCCTCTACTTTTTGAGAAATGAGCGTTTCCGTTCTCCTTGGCCCTAGTTGCACTATAAGTGCGAAATGCCGGCCAGACTGGCCGATGCACAATTTTCTCTACACATGTGCGTTAGTTACCTTTCAAACCCTTACGTTCACTAGATGAATTTATTTCCTAATTTCTATTTGAGTGAGACCACTAGATTCCGTGTACTATGCGAGATCTGAGCGCTTCCGTTCTCCCTGGCATTTGCATTTTAAGTTCCGATACTGACCGACCTGGCCAATGCACCATTTTCTCTATACATGTGCGTTGAATACATTTCAAACCTTTTTAGCTGACTAGATTTATATATTTCCCACCTTCTGATCGAGTGAGACCGTTAGATTCCCTCTAATTTTTGAGAAACGAGCGTTTCCGTTCTCCCTGGCCCCACCTGCACTATGAGTGCAAAATGCCGGCCAGACTGGCCGATGCAGCATTTTCTCTACACATGTGCGTTAGTTACCTTTCAAACCCTTACGTTCACTAGATGAATATATTTCCTACCTTCCATTTCAGTGAGACCACTAGATTCCGTGTATTATGCGAGATCTGAGCGGTTCCGTTCTCCCAGGCATTTGCACTCTAAGTTCCGATACAGACCGACCTGGCCAATGCACCACTTTCCATATACATATGCATTAGATTCCTTCCGAACCTTACTAGCTCACTAGATTTATATATTTCCCACCTTCTGATCGAGTGAGGCCACTAGATTCCCTTTACTTTTTGAGAAATGAGCGTTTCCGTTCTCCTTGGCCCTACTTGCACTATGAGTCGAAATGCCGGCCAGACTGGCCGATGCACCATTTTCTCTACACATGTGCGTTACTTACCTGTAAAACCCTTACGTTCACTAGATGAATTTACTTCCTACCTTCTATTTGAGTGAGACCACTAGATTCCGTGTACTATGCGAGATCTGAGCGCTTCCGTTCTCCCTGGCATTTGCACTCTAAGTTCCCATACTGACCGACCTGGCCAATGCACCATTTTCCATATACATATGCATTAGATTCCTTTCAAACCTTATTAGCTCACTAGATTTATATATTTCCCACCTTCTGATCGAGTGAGGCCGCTAGATTCCCTTTACTTTTTGAGAAATGAGCGTTTCCGTTCTCCTTGGCCCTACTTGCACTATGAATGCGAAATGCCGGCCAGACTGGCCGATGCACCATTTTCTCTACACATGTGCGTTATTTACATTTCAAACCCTTACGTTCAATAGATGAATATATTTCCTACATTCTATTTGGGTGAGACCACTTGATTCCGGGTACTATGCGAGATCTGAGCGCTTCCGTTCTCACTGGCACTTACATTTTAAGTTCCGATACTGACCGACCTAGCCAATGTACCATTTTCTCTATACATGTGCGTTGAATACATTTCAAACTTTTTTAACTGACTAGATTTATATATTTTCCACCTTGTGATCGAGTGAGACTGCTAGATTCCCTCTACGTTTTGAGAAACGTGCGTTTCCGTTCTCCCTGGCCCCACCTGCACTATGAGTGCGAAATGCCGGCCAGACTGGCCGATGCACCATTTTCTCTACACATGTGCGTTAGTTACCTTTCAAACCCTTACATTCACTAGATGCATTTATTTCCTACCTTCTATTTGAGTGAGACCACTAGATTCCGTGTATTATGCGAGATCTGAGCGGTTCCGTTCTCCCTGGCATTTGCACTCCAAGTTCCCATACTGACCGACCTGGCCAATGCACCATTTTCCATATACATATGCATTAGATTCCTTCCGAACCTTATTATCTCTCTAGATTTATATATTTCCCACCTTTTGATCGAGTGAGATCGCCAGATTCCCTTCACTTTTTGAGAAATGAGCGTTTCTGTTCTCCTTGGCCCTACTTGCACTATAAGTGCGAAATGCCGGCCAGACCGGCCGATGCACCATTTTCTCTACACATGTGCGTTAGTTACCTTTCAAAACCTTACGTTCACTAGATGAATTTATTTCCTACCTTCTATTTGAGCGAGACCACTAGATTCCGTGTACTATGCGAGATCTGAGCGCTTCCGTTCTCCCTGGCATTTGCACTCTAAGTTCCCATACTGACCGACCTGGCCAATGCACCATTTTCCATATATATATGCATTAGATTCCTTTCGAACCTTTTTAGCTCACTAGATTTATATATTTCCCACCTTCTGATCGAGTGAGACCGCTAGATTCCCTTTACTTTTTGAGAAATGAGCGTTTCCGTTCTCCTTGGCCCTACTTGCACTATAAGTGCGAAATGCCGGCCAGACTGGCCGATGCACCATTTTCTCTACACATGTGCGTTAGTTACCTTTCAAACCCTCACGTTCACTAGATGAATATATTTCCTATCTTCTATTTGAGTGAGACCACTAGATTCTGTGTACTATGCGAGATCTGGGCGCTTCCGTTCTCCCTGGCATTTGCACTCTAAGTTCCCATACTGACCGACCTGGCTAATGCACCATTTTCGATATACATATGCATTAGATTCCTTTCGAACCTTATTAGCTCACTAGATTTATATATTTCCCACCTTCTGATCGAGTGAGACCGCTAGATTCCCTCTACTTTTTGAGAAATGAGCGTTTCCGTTCTCCTTGGCCCTAGTTGCACTATAAGTGCGAAATGCCGGCCAGACTGGCCGATGCACCATTTTCTCTACACATGTGCGTTAGTTACCTTTCAAACCCTTACGTTCACAAGATTAATATATTTCCTACTTTCTATTTGAGTTAGACCACTTGATTCCGTGTACTATGCGAGATCTGAGCGCTTCCGTTCTCCTTGGCCTTTGCATTTTAAGTTCCGATATTGACCGACCTGGCCAATGCACCATTTTCTCTATACATGTGCGTTGAATACATTTCAAACCTTTTTAGCTGACTAGATTTTTATATTTCCCACCTTCTGATCGAGTGAGAACGTTAGATTCCCTCTACTTTTTGAGAAACGAGCGTTTCCGTTCTCCCTGGCCCCACCTGCATTATGAGTGCGAAATGCCGGCCAGACTGGCCGATGCACCATTTGTCAGAACATATAGCTTACTTATTTCTGTAGGCTATAGTGGGGTATCCCATAGGGGGTACAACCCAATTAGGGTTTCCTATTTGTACCCACTTCATTTCATAGTCATTCACTTCTCGTTCATACTTTCACACCATTTTCTCAACACATGTGCGTTAGTTACCTTTCAAACCCTTACGTTCACTAGATGAATATATTTCCTACCTTATATTTGACTGAGACCACTAGATTCCGTGTATTATGCGAGATCTGAGCGGTTCCGTTCTCCCAGGCATTTGCACTCTATGTTCTGTGAGAATAAGCGAACAGGAAAATGAATGAACTAGCAGTGAAAATGAGTACAAGTAGGAAACCCTAGAATTGTGTACCCCCTATAGGCTAACCCACTGTAGCCTACACAAGCATAACATATATAATGTTTGACACACCCCCATAGGCAAAGTGGGGGAGAACAAGGGGTCACAAGACCAGTCAAGCAAAGCAAAGCAAGCTCAGGGTGGATCACAAAGTCACCACACAGTCCGAGCACAAGAGCAGGGCCAGAGGCCAGTTCACATGCAGGAGTACAGACATATATATAAAACTAGACAAGCAAGAGCAGGTATATATATATGTCACAGTACAAGTAAAGTCAAGAGGAGAGCAAGTGAGGCAAGACAGGCACAAGACCCAGCTGGGTGCAAAAGCGCTGATGGTCACAAGGGGCGAGTGCCTTGGTGAACACATCAGCAGTGTTGGCCTCAGAGGCCACGTACGCAAGTCGCAACTGACCACGCTGCTGCAGCTCACGAGCAAGGAAGTAGCGGAGAGCAATGTGCTTCGTTCTGTGCTCCAAGCGCTGCTCTCGACACAAGGCCAGCATGGCCTTGTTGTCTACGTACAGCACTGGAGGAGAACGAGGCGGCTCTCCAAGGTCAGTCAGCAGGTAGGTGAGCCAGCGAAGCTCCTGTGCAGCCATGGCCCCGGCGTAGATCTCAGCCTCACAACTGGAGCCGAGAACCGAAGACGAGCGAGTAGACCGCCACGAGACAGAGCCGGAACCAAGGCTGAAGGTGTAACCATGTGACGACCGCTGCGTAGCCTGGTCGTCAGCCCAAGAAGCGTCCGCGTGGCCTGTAAGGACCACTGGACTCCGCCCTCCAAGCACTAGCCCCATGCCCGACGTACTGCACAGGTAGCGCAATACCCTCTTCGCTGCAACCATGTGCTCTGGTCGGTGTCTCCCAGGAGCAACATAGCGTGCAAGGATGCTCAGAGGGTATGCAAGGTCAGGTCTTGTGCAGGTCATCAGGTACATGAGGCAGCCAACAAGCTCTACATACGGACCACTCGACTCTACGGACTCATCCGAAGGCAGAGCTGAGAGTGAGTGGCGAGTAGGCAGAGGAGTGGCCTGAGGCGAGGAGTACGTGAAGCCGAAGCGCTGAAGGACCTGCTGCACCATGTGTGACTGAGTCAAGGTAATGGTGCGGCGTGCTCTGTCCCGAGTGATCTGCAAGCCAAGGTAGCTGCGCAGTTCACCCAGGTCTGTGCACGTGTGTCTCTTCAGCAGCTCGGACTTCACGTAGGCGAGTCCAGCAGTGTCAGCTGTGGCAAAGACCAAGTCGTCGACGTACACGAGGATGTAGAACGGTGGCAGGGAAGTGTCGGTGCGAAGAAACAGCGACGGGTCAGCAGTAGAAGGAGCAAACCCAAGAGCCGCAAGCGTAGTCCGCAGTGTGTCGTGCCACTCACGCGGTGCCTGGCGGAGACCGTAGACTGGCCGTCGGAGGCTCCACTGGGTGCCAGGAGGGAAAGTCCCAGTGAAGCCAGGCGGACGGCGCAGCCAGATCTCCTCGTGCAGGCTACCCTGCAGGAACGCAGTGCTGAAGTCGAGAGAGTGAAGCTCGTAGTCGCGCTGAGCGGCTATGTGCAGCAGCACCCGAAGAGTAGTCATCTTCGGGGTGGGAGAGAAGGTCTGAAAGTAGTCAACTCCCTGCCGCTGACTGAAGCCACGAGCAACGTACCGTGCCTTGAAGACAGGTGGAGAGCCCGGCAGCCGCTTCACCCGGAAGATCCACATGCAACTGACGATGTTCGCCCCAGGAGGGGGAACCGCGTCAACGTAGGTGCCTGTGGACTTCCAGGAAGCCATCTCTGCATCCATAGCTGCCTGCCACTGAGAGGAGTAGGGACCCTCTACGGCCTCCGCGTAAGAACGCGGAGTCGGGATGTCTAGTGCATCCGGGTCTCCCTCAGGGGCAAGCAGTACAGACGCGAGATGAGGTGAAGCAGCCGCTAGACACTGTAACTCCTCCTGCCTGTCCTCTAGGACGTCCGTGCCAAGAGCACACTCACCCCCGACGGACGGAGGACAAACAGACGCAGACTCAGCAACAAGACTAGCAGCGTAGTCGAGACGACATCGAGCAGCAAAGTCGACGAGCTCAGCGACTAGAGCAGACGCAGCAGTGGACTCAAAAGAGGGGTCAGTGACGACAGTAGCAAGCAGACGCGTGACAGTAGGACTGGCAGCACGAAGAGAGTCCGACTCAGGGTCGGCAAGCGCAGGAAGAGAAGACTCAGGAGGAGAAGGCAAAGGGGCACGCAGAGGAGCAGTGGACGGACGCAAAGACATCCGGTGCGTGCCAGGGACAGGAGGAGGACGCGGACGCGAACTGCGACCACTAGTGCGAGCAGTACAAACAGGCGACGCGGGACGAGACGCAGGCTCACGACGCTCAGCAAGACCTCCAGTAGGACCAGTGTAAGGAGAGGGAGCAGGCAGATGAGAGGAAGGCTCCAGCAAGGACTGCGACTGGACAGGCGGTGGACCCTCTACTGGAGGAGAAAGACCAAGAACCTGCTGCAGGAGGAGAACGAAGTACGGCCGAGGCCGCGCGGCAGCTCCAGACTCAGCAGGGACAGCACCAGCACCCTCAGCGTTAGCACCAGCGCCACCAACACCTCCAGTGGCAGGACCAACAGCAGTAGTCTCAGCACCAACACCCTCAGCAGCTCCAGCTCCAGGAGGACCCGCAGGTCCAGCAGCTCCGGGACCGGCAGCACCAGCACCCTCGACGGTCGAAGAAGCTCCAGCCCCAGCTCCAGCAGCACCCCCAGACTCAGCAGCACGCCTCCATCGGCGAGCGAACCACTTGCGCAGCTCCTGTGGAGAGAGGGGCTCCCGGCGAGGCGCAGCAGTAGGAGACACCCCAGGCTCAGCAGCTCCAGACGCAGCACCCCCAGGCTCAGCAGCTCCCAGCTCAGCACCCCCAGGCTCAGCAGCTCCCGACCCAGCACCTCCAGACCCAGCACCTCCAGGCACAGCACCCCCCGGCTCAGCACCCCAAGGCTCCGCACCCTCCGCAGTAGCACCCCCAGGCCCAGCACCCCCAGCAGTAGCACCCCCAGGCTCAGCACCCCCGCGCACAGCACCCCCAGAGTCAGCACCCCCAGGCTCAGCACCCGCAGCAGCACCAGAGTCACCAGTAACCTCGACCGGGTCAACGGCGTCTACCTGGGACACACCTGAGGGGGCAGGAACCTGAGGGGGGAGGGGGTCTACCGGGGGAGGAACCGGCACAAGGAAGTCCGGGGGAGGGGGGAGGGAAGGAGTGCGGTAGGGGAAGAGACGGTAGAAGGGGACTGACTCGTCGAACGTGACGTCGTGGGAGGACAGAACACGACGAGAGGAGGGGTGGTAAAACTGCCACCCTGGGGCGTCAGTGGGGAAGCCAAGGAAGACACAGGGAGCTGCACGAGGGGACAGCTTGTCCGCAGACAAGTCGCGGACAAACGCCCAAGATCCCCAGACACGGAACACAGACGCATCGCCAACCTTCCCCGTCCACAGCAAGGCTGGGGATCGCAGGCCGAGAGACCCGGGGGTGAAGGTTGAGCTGATGCGCCGCGTACCTCACCGCAAACGGCCACAGAAAATGGGGGGCAGCCGCATGCATCATGGACGTACGAGCGACATCCATGACCATGCCAATGCGGCGCTCAGCAATCCCATTTTGCTGTGGTGAGTCCGGAAGCGTGAAGGTCTGGCGGATCCCCCGTGCACGACAGTAGTCTCGCAGAAGGCGAGAGGAGAACTCTCCGCCTCTGTCCGAGTGCAGACGCAGAACAGGAAAGTCCGAGCCGAAGCTCTTCCTGAGCTGGAGACGAGCCTCGCGGATCCAGTCGATCAGCACCTCAGTGACCGCACCCTTGCTGCGCAAGGGGAGGACTGTGGTGTAACGCGAGTAGTCGTCAACCACCAACAGGAAGTAGCGCTCGTGACCCTGCCCACGGACGGGGGCTGGGCCCCACACATCCATGTGAAGCGTCTGCAGGGGAGCCTCTGTCGGGGGGAAGTTGGAGGAGTGAGGAGCAGCCCGGAGGCGACCCTCGACACACGGGACACAGGAAGGGCCTGGCCCGGAGGGGAGAGGAGGGAGAGACTGGGGAAGACCAGAGACAAGGACACGGGAAGCCATGCTCCGAAGACGGGGCAAGGAGGGGTGGCCAAGACAGTGGTGCCACAGGAGAGTCTCGTGAGACAGGAGGCGACAAGAACAGGGGGCAGACTCAGGACCTGACCGGGACGCAGCAGCAAGCACCTGACCTGACGCAGCTACCTGACCGGACGCAGGGACAGGAGGAGACGAAGTGGTCAGGGTGTAGAGACTCGACCCCGGCCGACGCGAGAAGGTGGCCAGGTGTCGGCCTGTGCGTGCGTCCGTGCAGTGGGTCACCCGCTGACTCGCAGGAGTGAACTAGTGAACCCCCGCATCCTGCAGGGCTGCACCACTCACCAAGTTCGTAGAGAACGAGGGAAGGTACAGACCAGACAGGGTGCCCGAAGGGGCAGCCTGACACGAGAGGACAGTGGAGAAGTGAGACAGGACAGGACCCCCAGAGGGGTCAGCAAGGGAGACCGCAACCGGCCGGCCGAGCGGCGTAAGGGTAGTGCGGTCTCTAAAGAAGGAGCGAGAAGCCCCGGAGTCAAGTGTGAAAGTGAGGGAGGACGAGGGCGACGCAGTACCTGAGAGCGCAGTCTCACCAGTACCTGAGAGCGCAGACGCACTGGCACCTAGAGCAGCAGCCTCACAAGCACCTAGCGCAGCAGTACCAATGCCCGGGTCGGGCTGGAAACACCGGTAACCCTCATTCTCCTCACTATAAGTCACAGCATACATAGCAGCACGGATAGCATCAAAATCAAGATCAAAGATCGCTACACCAGCCCTAAGAAGCTCATCCCAGCGAGGGATCTCACTAGCCCCGGGGAACTGCTGACGCCAAGCGTCCGTCAGGCGGCCAAAGCAGCGCTGGGTGGCGTGGGCACCCCCACACTGCTCACCCGCGCGGTCGCCGGAACGAAGAACGTAGGTGCAGGGACCAGTACCCCCACCCCTCTGACGCCCAGCGTACCACTCACGAAGCTGCTGAGGCGGAGGGATGTCTCGCGAGCGCTGCTGCTGCTGCCGCTGCGAGCGCTGGCCACCACCACCGCCGCTACGCTGCTGGGTACCACCCCGACCAGCTCCACCTCCTCCACCACCACCGCCTCCTCCGCTGCCGCCTCCACCGCCTCCACCTCCGCCGCCTCCACTTCCGCCGCTGCCTCCACCACCACCGCTGCCACCACCACCACCGTCTCCGCCGCTGCTGCCACCACCACCACCACCCCCGCCACTATTCCCGCCGCCACCCCCACCCCCTCCGCCGCCACCGCCGCCACCGCCACCGCCCCCTCGAGCTCCACCCGCGCCCTTGCCCCCCTTGCCCTTGCTGGAGCGACGTCTCCCACTAGGGGCAGACGCCGCGCCGACCGACTCAAGACCAAGCAGGTCGGCAGCAGCAGCAGAGGCAACAGAGGGCAGCAAGGGGGAAGGAGAGCACCCCTCAAAGATGGGGGTGCGAGGGTCACCACGAGAAGCACCTACAGCGACTATGCTCTTCTCCGCTGCGAGGAGGGCCTTCTCGAGGAGGTCGACGGTGAGGGTGGTGGGACAGACTGCGAGAAAGTGGTCCCTGACTACGCGAAGGGAGTCAGGGAGGCGCGCGACTACGTAGTAGAGAGCGATGTACATGGGGGGTGGGTTCTTAGCGCAGAACTCAGCAGGAAGGGCGGCGCGGTAGCGAGTGTCACTAGTGCGGAGGTGCGTAATGAGGTCAGCGACAGTGGGAAAGGCAGAGAGGTCAGGAAAGAGGTAGGGAAGCATGAGACGGCTCAGTGCAGCAGTGGCAGGGGAGGAGTAGCGCGCAACTACAGCGTCGTACAAGGTCTGAGCACTCTTGTACTGACTAAAGTGCGCACGCTCAGAGGTAGGGAGGTGGCGACGCACAGCAAGACGTGCAGCAGCATCGCGGGTGGCCCACTGAGAGCGGACAGTGGGATCAGCATCAGCAGCAGGAGCAGGAGAGGCGTCAGAGGTGAGGTCAAAGAGAGAAAGGCCGTCAGCCCTGTCGCACTGTAAGAACAGCTGCAGGTCGTCTAACCAGACCTCAAAATCAATGGCGCGACCCTCAGCGTCAAAAGCTAGGACACTAGGGGTAGCCATGGCTGTCAACGGGAGTTGTATGTTGGCCCCGTCCACGCCTGGGCGGAGCCGACTTCGTGGTCGGGTGTAGGGTGCAGCCGACCTGCAGCAGTGGGCGAGTTGGTCGACGAGGTTAGTCGACCTGCACGGGGAGCCACTGCATGGGCGCCGACTTCAGGAGGGCGCCAACTTCGTCTGGTCGACCCGGGACGCCGACCAGACCTTCTGGTCGACCTGGGACGTCGACCAGACCATCCTGGTCGACCAGCCCTTCTGGTCGACCAGGAGTGACGTCGACTTGGAGCTGGTCGACCAGGGAGTAGAGGTCGACCTGAGGAGGTCGAATTGGGGTGGTCGTCGACTTGGGAGGTCGACGGGCACGTGCAAGAGCTGCTGGTCGACGTGGTTGCCCGGTCGACCAGGTTACCTGGGTGACGAAGTGCTGCGGAGAAGTGCGACGGTCGCCCAGGCAAAGGTGGCGAGCACGACCACGGTGGTGGTATCTCGAGGTCGTCCTGGCGGACCAGAGGCAGTCGTCAGCTCGAGGTTGACGTGGAGTGTGCGCTGTGCAGGTGACGGGACTCTGCACGCCAATCAGCTACGCACACCTGCGAGGCGGGTGCACTGCTGTCCTGCGTGAGCAACGCTGGCACGCCGTCAACCTGCGACGTTGGCACGCCGTCGACCTTGCCTTGCTGGAGTGCGGTCGACCAAGTCGTGCTGGAACGCGGTCGACGAAGCTGCGCTGGCAGTTGGCCGACCTGAATGCTTGCTCTGACGTAGTCATGCTATGCCAACTTCATTGTACCAATTGTTCTGAACTTTTTCCTAGTGAAACTCTTGCCAACTTTCCCCGTGAACTAGCAAGTAGTGTGTGCACAAGGAAAACGACTAAGGAACAGAGAACGCAGAGATCACACGAGCACACGTGCCTAGCCCGTAGCCTAGCTCCCGTTGCTGTAGTTATCTCCGCATGGTGCGGTGAGCGTGGACGGCACACGACTTACCTTTCAGTCAAGTTGACGTAGATACCACTTACCTATTGTGTAGTTACAGGCCGGCGACTGTGCAGTAGTCACTATGGTAGGAGCCGTAGGTGACGCGGGGGTGGTGGACACCCTGGAGGCACGGTTGGAGAACGCGAGGAGGAAGCATGAGGCCAACGAGTATGGCGACTTGCCCAGGGCGGTCGTCGAGGCTGGACTCCGCTCAACGTGGGCGACGGAGCACCCGTCTCGACCCGCCTCTCCTCGTCCTGTGAACAATGAAGGCGGCGTCGACGTAGGCGTCAACGCTGGTGGCGGTCAAGTTGGCAGCAGTGCTGGAGGCACGTCGAGGCAAAGAGGTGTGATACACGCCGGTGAAGTCGGCGGCGTTCAGACGCGAGGGATGCAGTCTTCGGCGGCTGCAGGCTCCTCGCATGGCTACGCTGGTGGGAGTCGAAGTGGACTATCGCCGATGTCGGCGACCCAGGTGACGGCGGGCGGAATTGCGCCGAGCTACGGCTACTTCAAGTTTACGCCGGACAGGATCTCGGTCACCCCTCCGCTGGTCGGTCGACCCGACATTCTCACCTGGAAGGAAGCCATCGAGCCCCAGCTGGAGATGGCCGGGCTGGTCGGCTTCGCCCGAGGGACCGTGGCGACGCCGGGGGAGCACCACCCCGACCTGCGTGCGGAGTTTCGCGCCGTACAGCTGTTGACCTTCACGGTCATCTCGCGGTGCTGCTCGCCGGGCGTGCAGATCGCGTTGAAGTGGTGCCGGGAATACATCGACGCTGGCCACCGGGCGTGGCACTTCATCGAGTTGACGTACCAGGTCACCGACGACCTGTTCATCGCCCAGCTGGAGGGACAACTGACGCACCTGCGTATGGGTGACGAGGAGAGTGCGACCGACTACTGCAACCGAGCCAGGCGAATTCTCGCCACCATCAGGATGGCCGGAGCGCAGTACTCCACGGCGTCGTATATCACCCATGTCATGCAGGGTCTCTCTAGCAGCTACAACCTGCTGAAACGGCTGTCTATGGCGCCGAGCACAAGGGCAACGCTCAACGAGGACAACTTGACCTCGTATATCCTGCAGGACGAGGCGATGCAGGAGGCTGAGCGGTCGCAGGAGCTCTTGGCACAGGCCAAATTGGTCACCTCAGCGAAGCAAGGAGGTCGACCGGGGCAGCGCGGGCAATCCGGCGGTGGCGGTAGCAGTGGCTGGAAACCGGCCAAGGAGGTCGACAAGAGGAAGTCGACCAAGGACAGCGGTCGTGGAGGAGGAGGTCGACGTCGGGAGTGCTGGCTGTGCGGCGATCCCGATCATCTCTCCTTCGAGTGTCCCAACCGCAGCGACTCCGACAACGACGATGCTAAGGGAGGCCGTGGGAGGTCTGGCAGCCGTCGTCCTCATCGTGGAGGCAACCAACCGCGCAAGGAGAAGCAGTCGACCAAGACATCGACCTCGGCGAAGGACGCCGACTCCGTTGCAGGCGGCAAGGGGCGAGACGACAAAACGGCGTCGTGCTCGCTGGTCGGCGTCGTGGAGCCGACCATCTCTCTGGCGCCGGAGGCCGGAGAGGACTTCCAAGCGGTGGCGGCAGCTGTGCAGGCGAACCCGGCGGTGGTCCTGCTCGACAGTGGTTGCTCCCACCACCTGATGGGGACGAAGGAAGCCTTCGTCGACTTGCAGCCGAGTGGAGCCATCAGGCATGTGCGCGGCTTCAATGGGGCGCTGCAGGATGTCCAGGGCTGCGGCACCATCGCCCTGCAAGGAGAGGCCAGGAAGGAGGTGCTCATCCCCGACGTGTTGTACGTCCCGGGTGTGCGAGCCAACCTGCTGTCGGCCGGCCAGCTGAAGGAGCATGGTGTGAAGCTGCAGGAGGACGGAGACGGCATGCTGCTCGTCTCGGTAGCAGGGGAGGTGCTCGGGCGAGCGACGTACTCTGGGCGAGTCCTCTGCACCGACCTGCGTCCCTGCGCGACGAGGTCGACGCCGCCCATGACGGAGGTGGTGGCTCTGCGGGCGATCGTCCCGAAGGCGAAGTCGACGCCGGACCGGATGCATGCGAGGCTTGCGCACGTCGGCATGGACACCATACGGAGCTCGGCGAAGAACGAGGTCGCCATTGGGCTGGACCTCAAGTCGGCGACGGACTCCGACTCCCCGTGTGTCTCGTGCGTTGGTGGGAAACTGGCGCGGCACACCTTCCCCGACCAAGGCTCCGACGCCGACGACGTGCTGGCCGTCGTGCACATCGACCTGTGCGGGCCGATTCGTGTGGCTGCCAAGGACGGCAGCCTGTACTTCTTGCTGCTGAAGGACCGCAAGACCCGCTACGTGTGGGTGAAGCCGGTCGCCAAGAAGTCCGATGCGTTGTAGGCGTTCGTACAGTGGCTGGCGGTGGCTGAGCGGCAGACGAAGAAGTCGGTGTTGATGCTGCGCTCTGACCGGGGAGGGGAGTTCCTCGGGAAGCAGTTCACCGACTTCGTGAACGACAAGGGGATCGTCCACGACCTGACCTGCCCATATACCCCGCAGCAAAACGGCATGGCAGAGCGGGAGATGAGGACGGTGGTCGAGTCGGTGCGGACAATGCTGCTGCACATGGGCGTGCAGCACCACTGGTGGCACCTCGCTCTGCGGCAGGCCGTCTGGGTCCGCAACTGCCTGGAGAGGTCGACGCTGCCGCCGGGGACGATGCCGTACCAGCTGCTGACAGGGAAGAAGCCCGACTTGTCGCTGGCGTGGGTGTGGGGCTGCATGGCGCAGTTTCTTGTCCCTGAGCCGCAGCGTGGTGGGAAGCTGAAGCCGAAGGCCAGGTGGGGCCTGCACCTTGGCGTGTCGGCGGCGAGCAAGGGCTGGGAGCTCCTCGACGTCGACACCGACCGAGTGGTCACCACGTCGGACGTGGTGTTCTACGAGGAAATGTCGCTGGCCGAGTGGAAGACTGAGCATGGACCGGTACCCGGCCGCTCGCCGTCCACCTTGCCCTCTGACACCTCGTCGGCGACGCTGCCGCTGCTTGCCGAGGTCGGTGAGCTTGCTACTGAGGACGTCGAGGACGTCCGCTCCTCTACCCCTCTCCCTCTGACTCCTGCCCCTCCCCTCGTGGCCGACCTTCGTGGGCTGACCTCGGTGTCGGCCTTCGGCGATGAGGGGAGTAGTGGGACGCCGCCTTCGGCGCCGGCCAAGTGCATCGCCGGCGGCCGACTTGACGAGCGGCGAATCGACGTGGGATTGCAGTCGACAGGGGAGCAGCAGCCGACAAGGGAGCAGGCTGCCGTGAAGCCGACCACGGAGCAGTCGGCGACCGGGACGTCGGCAGGGGAGCCGACCACAGGGGAGAAGTCGGCTGGGAAGCCGACCACAGTGGAGCAGTCGGCTGGGACGCCGGCTGAGGAGCAGCAGGACGCCGAGGGCAGCGACGACAGTGACGATCGAGGGGACGCCGCGGCGGTCCAGCAGGGACCACGGCGTTCCGGCCGACTTCGAAGGCCGCCTGACTTCTTCGTCCCCGCTGCCTTCACCACGGTGTATGACGTGGACGATGACGACGACCTGCTGTACGACGACGCCGAGGAGGATGAGGAGTTTCCGGAGCTCGACCCCGACATGCTAGCCGACCCCGAGCACCGTTGGGACATCTCAACGATGACGGTGAAGGAGGCGTTGGTGAGCTGGAAGGGCCCGGCGGTGAAGGCCGCCATGGAGGAGGAGATCCGCAGCCTCATCAACATGGGCACTTGGGAGCTGGTCGAACGCCCGCCGGGGGTAAACGTCATGAAGAACCGGTGGGTGTTGACGACGAAGTACCACATTGACGACACCGTCGAACAAGAAAAGGCGAGGCTGGTCGTAAAGGGCTTCACACAGGTGTATGGCGCCGACTACGACGAGACGTTCGCGCCGGTGAGCAGCTACGTGACGCTGAGGATTTTCCTCACCATTGTCGCTGTCCTCGACCTCAACCTGATGCAGCTCGACATGAAGAATGCCTTCCTGCAGAGCAAGCTCGATCAGGTACT